GGGACCGTCCATAAATGACGTCACGCGATTTTGGACGATTTTTGACCCCCCCCCCCCTTCGTCACACGGCGTCACAAAAAGTCAGACCCCCCCCCCTCAAATATGACGTCACAAAGCTCTGCCCCCCCCCTCAAAAAAATAAACATGCTTCAAATCGCTTTAAACTATTGTCATTGTAGTGCGTATTTAATGTGGCGCTGCACTCTGATGTTGTAGGAGAAAACATTCATTAAAAAGTATATTTAATTAAGTAGAACGTGTTGTCTATATTTATTTCAAGTTGCGCATTTTGATGTGACGTCACATTTCTCACATCGTCACAAATGTCTGACCCCCCCCCCCCCCAGGTGCGTGACGTCATTTATGGACGGCCCCTGTCTAGTATGGAAGAGTAAGCCAAATTCCCTTTGGGGTGGTTCTCCAGCCTCAAGAGCACCCTGTAGTGGAGGCTCTTCCGCCGACAGTGGCGTGAGGACGCTGTTGCAGCGCTGCGCTTTTAACTTCAGCCAGAGGACGCGCTCTGTACTCTTTGTCCCGCCGTGCAGAATCCAACAATGTGTACATAAATTACTTTTAATCAATCTGTACAGAGCGAGACCTCGTCGGATGTACACAAGAGTAGCGACGACTGCGTTGCTCGAAAACCTAATGAACTGACATTCCAAAAATGCAAATTAACCACCAAGGATCTTAATTGTCCACAAGAGTTCACCATTGTGTGCCGATGTATATGAATGGATGACATTCCGTTGATGCAAATAACGTAATGCGGGAATGTAAATGTGATTGAAGAGGTCTTGTCCGTGACTGCTCTCTCCCATCAATCAATTACACGGTGACGTGACCCAGCGCTTGCTGCAGTGGATCACGGTTCGAATCCAGCGTCCGCCCTGGTTAGTCATAAACTTTATCTTTTTGTTCAGATTTTATTTATTTATCCTGGAGAAATCCGACAAGTTATGAAGCTCTTTTTCGCAGATCTCCAGCGGTTTTTCAAAGACGTCCAGTAGTTTTCACCTATCTCCAGTAGTTGTATCTGCGGGTGTAATAACCATAACATATGGATATACCCTTATAAAATGAAACAAGTAGTGTTGAGTAGGATAGATACGAATGGTCTCAATTATATTGTTTTGTTTCACACTAGCCACAATGATGAGGATGGAAATTATAATTGTTGAATCAATAGTTGTAAGATTTAAGTTATTTTGGTTCGGAAACTTGGCACCACAGACTCGAGTCTAATTTGTATGATCGTATCAAGTGTTCTTTGGACCGAGTAGCGCTCTGATTTATAATAAATAACACTGGTCAACAAAAAAAAAACTTTTTTCTGGCCTGGACTTTTGCAGCTGTTTTAGACTAATTTCAGGGTGCTGATTCCAAATCTGATCTCAGATTTGCTCTATCACATCTCATTTTATGCTATCGGCATACCCCATTTTCATTGATTTTACCCGAAATTAACTCTGTCACTTATGATTGCAAGTTGTTGCGAGTCCAGTGACTGCTTTAGTGTTAAAATATGGTGCTGTATTTTTAGGATAGTGTGTTTATAATATCATTTTATGTAGATATCCACATTTATTTAATATTTTTCTTCTGCAGTTGTTATTTAAAATGCAATATTTGATATCTCAAAAACCTGTGATAGACAAAAACTGATGCCAGATTTGGAATCAGCACCCCAAAATTATCTTAAAACCGTTGGAATACCTTATGCCAGAAAAAGTGTGTTGACCAGTATAATAGACTTGTTTTCATTAAAACCTGTCTCTTGGTGTGAGGTTGAAGAGTGTATTAAATCCATCCGCTACATGCGAGATATCTTAAGCATCTGGACACTAAGGCTGGCTTCTGTCATTGTGTTTAAAGAATAACTCATACTTTGGATAAAACAAATATAAAAATTAGTGACAGATACCTGTCGGTAAGATCACCTAAAGTCATTTGTAAGAGTAGGGCGTTGTGTGTGAACGTCACGGCACATTTCTCCACGTGGCAATCGTCGCCCCTACCCTGATAGGAAAACTTGTCAAGACCCTCATGAAAAAAGAGTCATGATGGCACTCAGTTGATACTTTCCTCGGTAAACAACAATAAGAAGAATCTCATGGCATGTTTTTGCCAGTATGAAAGTATGAAAACTAAGAATAGGTTTTACGCTTTCTGGCAATATAACATTATTACCTACTATGATCACCCAGAAATGTCTGTCCGTCCCGCACGTGACGTCACTCCACATGAGGCCCACCCCCCGTGCGTGACGTCACTGCACATGAAGCCCACCATTAATAGTCGAATATTTCGGATAGAATCAGTTTTTCAATTACTAACCCAAATGATTTAATGGTTTGTTATTGAACCACGCGAAGACCTGGTGAGATTAATCGTTAGGCAGATTAGATGCAATTGCGAATTTAATACGTAAAATGCAAAATACTGCATCGAATTAACATCGATTCTCCTATTTCGTTGCGTTTAAGAATCGATTGCTTAACGATTTTGGCGAATAATACGTGAAAGCATTAAGCGAATGTATTTGTAAGCTATTGTAACGAACGAGATAGAACGATGTTATGGATGGAGATGGTACAACAAGCGAGACATACTTTCCAATAGATGGTCGAGAGGAAATACAAACAAACGGTCGATTCCACCATTGGAACCTCATTTGCCAGTAGCAAAATATGATAGTTTTTTTATCCTTTTATCTGGCAACAAAACTGACACCTTTTTTACAAGAGTCATGTTTGCATTGACCACAATACCTGCAGTCGGAATGCAAACAATCAATTTCAAGGACAGTGCATACATTATCAGAGTTATGTTTTTTTTTGCATTCCGACTGCAGGTATTGTGGTCAATGCAAACATGACTCCTTGTAAAAAAAAGGTGTCAGTTTTGTTGCCAGATAAAAGGGTAAAAAAACAATTATCAAACGGTAGATGATTAATTCTATTTGCGATACGAAATCGTGATCATTAACGGTATTGCTGGGGGGGAAAGGTGAGTGCAGTGATGGGCACATGACGCACATCCCATGCTGATTTAGTGATGGGAGAGAGTTGTGATGAAAAAAATAATAGGTTTTACCCTTTCTGGAAATAAAACAGGTGTCAAGATGTTCAAACACCAAATGGAGACCTTTTGCAAAGAGTCATGTCTGCATTAACCACACGTACATGCAATGTGTTGTTGTGTTTGAAAATCTTAACACCTGTTTTATTGCCAGAAAGGGTAAAACCTATTCTTCTATTTTTCATACTTTGATACTGGCACAAAAGGTTCCATGATATAGCTGCTCACCCCAAGCTATAATTGTTTTTATTCGTGCATTAATTGGTGATGTAAGCCCCTTTTAAACCTGTAAATTAATTCGATATTACGACGATGTGGAATTAAAGATGCGGTAATTGTAAAGTATAAGAGATGCCATTCTGGGAGGGAAATTTGGCCTTCTCTTCCATGCCGGTCAAGACGTTTGGGAATAAGTTCGGCGTACCCACAATTTGTCCCACGACCACCACCACCACACACGCCTGTGGTGGACTGTAACCCAAATACGTTTGGGGTGGTTGGTTGGTGGTGGTGAGATTCAAAAGCGAATAAACACAAACCCACACACACACAAACTCGCACACACATACACGTGTGTACACATACACGTGTACCCACACACACATACACGTGTGTACCCACACACAAACCCACACAAACACAAATCCACACACACATACACGTGTGTACACCCACACACAAACCCACACACACACAAATCCACATACATACACGTGTGTACCCACACACAAATCCACACACACATACACGTGTGTACCCACACACAAACCCACACACACACAAATCCACACACACATACACGTGTGTACACCCACACACAAACCCACACACACACAAATCCACACACACATACACCGTGTGTACACCCACACACAAACCCACACACACACAAATCCACACACACATACACGTGTGTACACCCACACACAAACCCACACACACACACATCCACACACATACACGTGTGTACCCACACACACACACGTATGTAACCACACACAAACGCACACGTTAATCGGTGCTTTATTTAGTAGCGGCTTAAGTAATCGGTAGCAATGGGTGAGTGTTGAGGTTCGGGAGCGGTTTAAAGCGCCCGGAAGTACGTCACGAGGAGGGGGCGGGGCGGAAGGGGGGGGGCGGAAGGGGGGAGACGCGCGGGGCTGGACGTGCGGGTGGGCGCGTGAGTGGACGTGGGTACGTACACACACAAACACACGTGTGTGTGTACACACACACGTGTGTTTGTGTGTGTGGGTTAGTGTGTGTGTGTTAGTGTGTTTGTGTGGGTTAGTGTGTGTGGGTTTGTGTGTGTGTGTTAGTGTGTGTGTGTGTTAGTGTGTGTGTGGGTTAATGTGTGTGTGTGGGTTAGTGTGTGTGGGTTAGTGTGTGTGTGTGGGTTAGTGTGTGTGTGTGGGTTTGTGTGTGTGTGTGGGTTTGTGTGTGTGGGTACACACACGTGTGTTTGTGTGGGTTAGTGTGTGGGTTAGTGTGTGTGTGTGGGTTTGTGTGTGTTTGTGTGGGTGCGGTAGTGTAGCGGTTAGCGCGCTGCGCTATGAACCTGGCGACCCGGGTTCGATTCCCGCTCACGGCTAACACCAGTGACGATTATCTGAACCGGTCCTGGGCCTCCCCTAGGTCGACTCAGCCTTAAATGAGTACCTGGTGCGGTGTGTAAACATCGCCACTGGGGAGACAAAGGCGGTCGGGCGTGGTGCTGGCCACCCACCCCCTCGTGTACCGTTCCGGCCTTCATAGGTGCTCGCTAACAGCACTTGCCCCTACAGTCTGTTAAGGCTATACGGGGGATCTTTGATCTTTGTTGTTTGTGTGGGTTAGTGTGTTTGTGTGGGTTAGTGTGTGTGTGTGGGTTAGTGTGTGTGTGGGTTAGTGTGTGTGTGGGTTAGTGTGTGTGTGTGTGTGGGTTAGTGTGTGTGTGGGTTAGTGTGTGTGTGGGTTAGTGTGTGTCTGTGGATTTGTGTGTATGGGTTTATGTGTATGTGTTTGTGTGGGTTTGTGTGTGTACACTCGTGTGTGTGTGTGTGGGTTTGTGTGTGTGTGGGTTTGTGTGTGTGTGGGTTTGTGTGTGTGTGGGTTTGTGTTTGTGTGTGTGGGTTTGTGTGTGTGTATGTGGGTACACACGCGTGTATGTGTGGGTTTGTGTGTGGGTACACTCGTGTGTGTGTGGGTTTGTGTGTGTGTGTGGGGGTTTGTGTGTGTGTGGGTTTGTGTGTGTGGGGGTTTGTGTGTGTGTGGGTTTGTGTGTGTGTGGGGGTTTGTGTGTGTGTGGGTTTGTGTGTGTGTGGGTTTGTGTGTGTGTGGGTTTGTGTGTGTGTGGCTACACACGTGTATGTGTGTGGGTTTGTGCGTGGGTGTGTGGATACACACACCTGTATGTGCGAAGGTCAACACGTCTGTGTGACAGGTTGTTTGGGTACACATGTTTGTGTCGACGTGTGTGTGTTTGTGCACATGCGGTTGTGTGTACACTGTGTGTTTGTGGTTGTGTAAATGTGGTTGTGTACACGTGAGGTAGTCACGTGGTGACGTGAGGTAGTCACGTGGTGACGTGAGGTAGTCACGTGGTGACGTGAGGTTGTCACGTGGTGACGTGAGGTTGTCACGTGGTGACGTGAGGTTGTCACGTGGTGACGTGTGCCTGCGTTGTTACGTATGGTTGTGTGTAGACTTATATAAGACAACGCTTATGATATCTGCTTTCCATAAATGCTGTACCTGTAGTCTGTGTTCTGTGCAGCTTTGCACGTCTTGCTCTCGAATCGTCGTGAAGTTAGATTTGGTCGGTGAACTTTTTGTACTTAACATTTATTTTGCTCCTTTCACATTTGGCGCCGTTGACGCCTTAAGAATATTGAGTTATAAACATCGGAGATTATTATTCGAGTTGAATATAAATAAGGCCGCGGTGATTGGGTCTAGAGCACATTGGTGTTGCAACCAAAATAACAAGAGGGAGCACGTTTTGTTCTAATTCAGTAACCAAAAAAACAACCACACGCAACACCATCCTTTGTATTCTTTATTTCTTTCGGTGAAGTCACGCAGATTAAAATAATAATACAAAAGAAAGTTATTAAAAATAATAAAAACACAGTAATGTGGACTGTAGCCTGGTTATTAATCGGAGTGAGTGTTCTGGCTAATCTATAATGTTGACTGTAGCCTGGTTATTAAGTTGGGTGAGTGTACTGGCAGTCTATAATGTAGAGTGTAGCAATGGTTATTATTTTTCATTTTTATTCACTTTATTTTAATTATTTTTCTATCTACGTGACTTTACCGAAAGAACCAAATAATACAAAGATTAGTGACAGCTGTCAAAAATTACTGTGTCCCTCCGTGGCAGCCACGATATAGGACGTTGATCTGGCAAGCAATCGGCGACTGTAGGGGTCAAAGGTCACCGTGTGACCGCGCCGATAGACACGAGACTGGTCAAGCATGTGGCGGCTGTAGGGGTCACAGGTCAGCGTGTGACCTCACCGACAGACACGAGACTGGTCAAGCATGTGGCGGCTGTAGGGGTGACAGGTCACGGTGTGACCGCCCTGAGAGTCATGAGACTGGTCAAGCATGTGGCGGCTGTAGGGGTCACAGGTCAACGTGTGACCGCGCCAATAGACACGAGAGTGAAAACGGTCAGCCACGTTCACTCGGACCGAAGACAGGTCCTGATCCTTGCCAGGCTTGCCGTGTTGTTGGAGCCAAGCTTTCTGCTGTTATATTGAGCGTTACCATTTAGCGTGTATTGTATCTATATATCAGCCCAAGCCTCCTGTAAAACACGTGACCCCCCCCTCATCTGAATCCCTCCCCTGTCCGCCACCCCCTGTGAAAACAGACGCCGCTCCTCCGTAAAGCAGCATCAAGGCCCTGATGCAGCCTCTTCCTCCTCATCTCTCCTAACCCCTTGGCTCCCGTTTCTCGCTTCCTTTTCCATTTCCCGCATTTCCCCCCCAATTTTTTAAAATCTTCTCTCTCCCCTTTTACTGTTCATTTTTCTTTCTCCCATTCATTATGCATCCACGACTCTACTCCCCATTCCTGTGGTGTTCCACCGTTACAAAATTGAAAGTAGTATTCACCCCCCCCCCCACCCCCCAAACGTTTATCCAGGTCTGCCATGGATTATGGTACATTTCAATGGACTATCATCAGGTGAAATGACTTTAATGATATAAAAATGTGCACTCTAAAAAGCTGAGGAGCAACATTATTGCCCTGCACATGAAACCCTAATCTGACTACGACACCCCTCTATGAAATGAGTAATGTTCCCCGTCTGGGCGTGGTTGCCGTGAGCAGCCCATAAAGACGTGTGCTTTGTCGATTACCATTTACAGTAAGGTTTCCTGCCGTGTACAGAGATTTAAAAAAAATTGCGTGACTAGTTGATCATTTTCAGACGACAGTGCTGTCGTAGGTGTGGTAAAGTAGGCGACGCCGCTGCCTTCACTTGCTTCCTCCGTCTGTTGTTGCTGTTCCCTCGGTTATCAAGGTTTGGAAAATGCTTTTCTCATGAAGTTGGGTTTTTGGACGCACAATGATAGCGAGAGTGTTTTACGAGCAGTCTGCTGTGAGCACGAGTGGAGACGACAGAGGTCCACTACTCGCAAAGTAGGACGTTTTGGCATGAGATATGAAGATACAATCTCTTTGGCACTTTTTAAAGTCTTTTAACGTTAAGTTAGCAAGTTGTAGTTTTCCATTGTCCGTACTGGGGACTTTACCATCATCATCATCAACATCATTAAGGCAAAACTCTAATTATTCCTTGGGGTCATTTGTTACGTGCACTTCGACGTGCCTCTTCTCTCATCCACTGTCATCGTCATCATCAAGAATCTTGTTCCATTGCACAGCGTGACGCAGCTCCTTCCCTGTGCCAGGACGCAGCGCTCGAAGACGAATGAGCGCCGTCGACTGAGAGATGACGGCGACGGTGCGTCGGCGTGCGCCCGTCCTCCGCTCCAGCCGTAACCTCGCGCGCGTGGCCGCCCTCTTCGCCCTCACGTTCCTGGTGGTGCTGCCGCTCTCGTGCCGCCACCTCCGCTACTCCCACTACTCCGACAGCGGCGGACACGTGGTGCAGGCGCAGGACGAGGCGCAGGCGCGGGAGGATGCGCTGGACGCGGAGCGGGCGCGCCGCTTCCTGCGGCGGATCGCGACGGAGGACGACGTCCCCCGCCGGCGCCGCCACCACGGCAACGGCACGCGGGGCGAGGGGCCGGGCGACTTGGCGGTGGCGGTGGTCAGCGTGCGGCGGCAGGAGCCCTACCTGAGCCGGGTGGTGGCGCGGCTGCTGGCGCTGCTAAAGGCGTGTGGGCCGGCGTGCGAGCGCCACCGGCTTCTCGTGTGCAACGTGCAGGCGGTGCCCGAGGACCACGTCGAGGCAAGCGAGATCTCCGCGCTGGTGCACACCGTCGCCAGGTAAAACCCTCGGGACAACCGCGTTCATCGGACTGGCCCACACGTTTTAATAACGTCTTGTTCATTGACAAGGGATGTGTTGCAAGTGTGTGCCCGCGGATTTATAAAATACATTGAGGTTTGTCTACAGCAAGGGTGGCCAACCTGTAACAGACCAAGAGCCAAAAAGTGCCCATGAGTTCTGCAAAGAGCCAAGTGCATCAGTGTCGATAGAGCCGCGTGTGGTGGATTAAAGAGCCGCAAGCGGCTTGGGAGACGGCGTTTGGCCACCGCTGGTCTACAGTATAAGACACTGAATTTGTCCCTCTGCGAGTCTGTCAGTCATTCACAACACTTTATTGAGCAATTATCCTACAAAATTTATAGTTGATTCTGTCCTGTGGAAGGAACCAGGGAACGATAGTATTAAATGGTGTGTGCCACATTAAAACGTTTCAATGAAATAAAAAAAATAAACTGTGAAGAATTTTTTTAGATTGTGGAATGAAGAATGATCTGGGTAGCTAATACTCTAGTTTTCTAGTTTACGTATATAAAATTGCGTTTAATAATGGATTTGACGTTTTATAGCAATGAACGTAGGTACATTGGCAAGGTCTATGTTGGCAATCACAAAGCCAGTGGAAATTCCTTAATAATAATAACCTCTATTTTATAAAGTGCCTTTCATATTGAAGTATCTCAAAGCGCTAACCTTAGCATGGTTGGCATAGGTCCTTGTGCAAGGAATTAAATGGGGGACCCCCTCTCTCCAATTTCCCCGCTCTTCATCGTGAAATGTCTGCAACCCTTAGGGCCCTTTGGGCCCGGTGCAGTTGCACTGCCTGCACACTCTATTGCGATGGCAATCGCCGGCGGGCCATGAAGGAACTGGAACATTTCGGATTCCAGCATCGCTGCCACTGCGTTCAGGTTCTCGGAGAGCGACCCGGACGCAGGGAAGCCGCCTGCGCACAGCCGCTTCGAGAAGGAGAAGCGTGACTACACGTGGTGCCTGCGGCGTGCGGCGACGATGACGGCGGGGGGCGATGGCGGCGCCGTGGTGCTGCTGGAGGACGACGCGCTTCCGGCGGACGACTTCTTCCCGGTGCTGCACCACCTCCTGGGCGAGCGCCGTGCCGCGTCGCTGCGGCTGCGCCACGCCCTCTACGTGAAGCTCTTCCACCCGGAGCGGCTGCAGGGCTACTTCAACCCCGAGCCGATGCGCATCCTGGAGTGGGTGGGCGCCGGCGGGCTGTGCGGGCTGGCGCTGACGACGGTGTACCTGCGGCTGGCGCGGACGCCCTTCCGCTGGCGGTTGGTCGCCGCCCTCACGCTCTACGCGATGCTGTGCGTAGAGATGGTGGGGCGCCACTACTTCCTGGAGCTGCGGCGCGCGTCCCCGCACTTCTACGCGCTGGCGCCCGCCACGGAGTGCTGCACGCCGGCCATGGCGTTCCCGAGCGCGGCGGCGGCGCTCGCCGTGGCCGAGCTGCTCGACGCCGAGCAATGCGCGCCAAAGTACGGCAAGGACATGGCGCTGTACGCCGCGATGCACCGCGCCGAGCACGGCGCCCTTGTGCTGGAACCCAACCTGGTACGGCATATCGGACGGTACAGCTCCCTGCGGTCGTAGCCACCGCCGCCGCCACCGCCGCCCGCCGCCACCATCAACCCCTGCTGTTGTTGGTAGAGACTGCCCAGATATTGCCGAGTGCTGAGTCTGAATGTGGGACCTGTGCCTGCGTAACATCATGCACATGTACAGCCCGTTTTGTCAACCCACCCGTGGGTGAGGATCTCCCCACGGCACGTGCTTCGTTTGCGGTTTCTTTGACCGTGGGGGTTTGGTCAAGGCGGGCAGCCATAGATGTGGTAGCAGAGTAAAGTCCTACGATGGATATCGCTGCACTGCCCTCTGCTGACAAACTGCGGAGGACAACCGCGGAGCCGCCCTTGACAACCCGGTGTGCTGCATAGCGTCTCGCGTCATAGCCCAAACTGCATTTATTTGATGTTACAACCAACCTGTGTCGTCACGCTTCTCAAGGTGTCTATTGCAAAAGAAGTCTGTTTCGGGTCCTGCCAGTTACACTTAATGCTATAAACATGATCTTATTTGTTGTGTAAACTCGTAATGCTGTGATGTACTGTAGTCACTCGGTGTGATGTTTACATGTGCGTGGTTAAGTTTGCTAGAAAACCCGTCTGACACGATTTCAAATGTAGTTTTTTTTCCAACAAATGAGTGGTGATTATATATTCAGGAACTAGTTAAAAAATGTGTATGGATGGGTACATTGTGCAGTGCTTTTTATAGGTGACTTGACACCGGTCAGTTCGGGGCGGTGAAGGTGGTATGGACCGAGGACCGGTTCAGATATCATTCGCCACCGTTTAGCCATGGCCAAGAATCCAACTCAGGTTTGGCAGCTTCATAGCGTAGTGCGCTAACCATTGCACTACCGCTGCACCAAAGTTCAGTAAAACTTCAAAGCCATCGTGGTCAAAGCCGCTGACCTCCCAGGGCCACACCTTGCCGACGCTTTACTCCCCTCCGCCGGATCCCACAGCAGCCGCTGCACAGTAGACACAGAGAGAGAGAGCTCTTTGGTCTTTCCCCATATTTTTCGTTCATTGATATGGGGCCGTCCATAAATGACGTCACGCACCTAGGGGTGGGGGGTCAGATATTTGTGACGATGTGTGACGAGGGGGGGGGGGGGGGTTTGAGAAATGTGACGTCACATTAAAATGCGCAAGTTTAAATAAATATAGACAACACGTTCTACTTAATTAAATAGACTTTTTCATAAATGTTTTCTCCTACAACATCAGAGTGCCGCGCCACATAAATACGCACTACAATGACAATAGTTTAAAGCGATTTGAAGCATGTTTTATTTTGGGGGGGGGGGGGCAGAGCTTTGTGACGTCATATTTGAGGGGGGGTCTGACTTTTTGTGATGCCGTGTGACGAGGCGGGGGGGGGGGGGGTCAAAAATTGTCCAAAATCGCGTGACGTCATTTATGGACGGCCCCTAAAATTACATGATTGTGGCACGGCATGTGATGGTGAGGATATGGAGTTATTTGCATTTTCCACTTTGATAAGAACAAAGGTTTACTGTTTCATCACTCCAAACATCTGCAATGGGGATTACTTGAAAAAACTTTCGGACGGGTACTTAACGACTCACCCACCTACGCGATTCGAGAATATTTTTTAAAAACCATGAGGTCACGTGAATATGTTGCAACGAACCGTACAGGGATTTCAAAGATTCTCACGTGCACGATTCGATGCGAGCATCGTGAGCGCTAGTATCCATTTTCAATCGATGAAACGGTGTCTCATTGAGAGCCTACTTTCTCATTTCGAATGCGTGGGTGTTTTTTTTTGGTCAATGTGCCACCACAAGTGAGCCTGGTATGTCTTGTTCATGTAACGTCCTATCCAGTTATTATATCGTGGGCAGGGGGGATAGATTTACCGGTACTTAAGCTCCAATGATGGAATTTTTTACGAACTTAGTGATGAGAATATTCGTCCACAAAGTATTATTTGTATTTATTTCAGTCATTACGAAAACCACAAGGCGTGCCGATGACTACGACTGCCCGATCAAAGACCAAAGCTGTGATGAGACGAAACTAACTCGTATGAATGGAGACGCAGACTCATAACGTAGTAACTTTATTAAACACTGCAGTGCACTTAGGAAGACCTAAATGATAATTGACTGTAGGTAGAGTATTGTATAAGTATATAAAGTGGTTCACTGATTGGCTGACCTGACAATATTTGGAGGCGGGGGGGGGGGGAGAAATTGCAAGACAAAAGACAAAGATCCCCTGTATAGCCTGAACAGACTCTAGGGGCAAGTGCTGTTAGCGAGCACCTATGAAGGCTGGCACGGTACACGAGGTGGGTGGATGGCCAGCACTACGCCAGACCGCATTTGTCTCCCTAGTGGCCATATTTACACATCACACGAGGTACTCAATTGAGGCTGAGTCGACCTAGGGGAGGCCCAGGACCGGTTCAGATAATTATCGTACCTGATGTTGGCCGTGAGCGGGAATCAAACTCGGATCGCCGGGTTCGTATCGCAGCGTAGCGCTAACCGCTGCACCACCGCTCACCACGGGGAAATTGCATCAACCCTCACACCAACATTTAATAACTAAGAGCGGACTACATTTTTGACCGCTTTAGTCAACCGAACGACTAAATAAACTCCACGGATTGACTCGACTGAAATGCCGCAGGTTGTAGTTCACACGAAAGACTGCGGATTCACGTGAAAATAATTCCGATTAATTCCACACTAACTCAGCTGTGGCCCCCCGTGACTCACTGCTGGGTGACTTTGCTCGGTCAACTTGTGGGCCATGGGGCAACTGCACACGTACGTGTACCCCGACTCGCAGAGTGTGAGCCAATGAGGGTGAATAGCCAAGTAAAATCATAAAATGCCTTCTATTTGTAATTCATTATGCACTGCAAAATGATGCTTTCGTCGCGGAGTTTCGCTATGCGTTTGTGGTGGCCGCTCGCTGCCCTCGAGTGCAATAACGAGGGCCTGGTCATCGTTATCTTAAATTATTGTAGCTGACGGTGCTGGTTGTCACGGCTGTTGCTTTGGTATTGCTTGAGATTTCTAGTTTATCAATACAGGATCGCTAACTCTCTGTACGTGCAGCTGAGTTGTGTAAGATTTTATCACAACAATGTCTTTGTAAAAATAAGGTTCAAACGTTTGATATCCCCAACATGTTTAAAATTTGGAACCCATAACATTTTGGTTAAAAAAATTGATGCAAAAAAAAACGAGTTTGTTTTCTCATATAACAAAAAAGGGCTTGTGATGATTTAAACATTTTTGTGCTAAAATCGGTTATTATTTTCCGGTATTTTATTTTGTAAGTATTGGTTTCTTTCAATGCATTTCGAAACAATGTTCCCGTGAGTGAAATTATAAAAGTTTTCATTTTCTCGCGTACAAAGTAATTGTTGACGTTTTGTCTTTAAATGAAATCTCGCTTTCACAATTCTCCAAGTGTGCTCGTTTATTTTGGAGTGCAACCGTTGGCAGCGTGGAGTTTAAAAAATTACGCAACTTATCGTAAACTCCTTTTGTTAAGCTTTAGATGAAAGACTTTTATGGGTCAAACTGTCACAAGCACGACAATCGGGGCACGGATAGGATAGCAACCGTAAATGTAATATGAGGTGCGCGGATTCTATTTCACGTGGTTAAATAAGGGACAGTGAAAAAATACTAAGGGGAAAATGATGACACCCCGTGTACTGCGTTTGTCGTGGTTTGTCACGTGGTAACATTAATGGATTTCCCAACACTGGGGCAATCACCATGCCCCCATCATCTATCTCTGCGTCTCAACCCTCCACATATCGTGGTTATGTAACCCGGCGATGCTAAAAAAAACCCACACTACTGCACAGCAACCATCTTGCAAAAAAACATTTAAAAATTCCATTCAACAATTATGGGAATAAAACAGACAACAATAAAAGGTGACTCACAAAGACCCCCCACACCGTATAGCCTCAACATAATTTTGGGGCAAGCGCTGTTAGCGAGCACCTATGAAGGCAGAAACTGCAGGCGAGGGGGTGGAGGGTGACCAGCACCACGCCCGATCTCTCTCTTTCTCTCAGTAAGATGCATCCCAGCCAAGAGCCATGGACAGGTCATCAAGCCAAAGTGACAGCCACCCAGCGAGCGGTCTTCCTTGCCTGTGTGGATGCGACGGCGGCGGGTTGACTCATGCCAAGCACGCACGGAATAACAAGCAGAAAGTCGTCTCCATTTTTGGCGGCGTGTGAAAACGCATTTCGTTTCGACATCAAGAACAAAAGGTTTCGGTTGTGAAAATTGCCAAGTAGTGGACGCACACATGGCGTGGCATGGGAAGTCTTGAGTAGTAGCGACGTTGGCAAACTGGGCCGGCCCGATCAACGGTAATCTGGCATTGGAATACCGTGCTGTTGTCAGATCTGGAGCAGCCCACTTCCCACCTCACCGATCGCTTGATCCAGAACTCACCGATTCACTCGATTAACTTGCCTCGCTCGCCGACTGCCAGTCGCCTCCGTAGCACTCTTCTGTTGCTACTGCCACCTGTTACCGTTCCACAGCAATTTCACATTTCATTGATTCCTCCACCCATTTTTTCAGACGCTGTCGCCTCGACAGACCTGGTTTTCACCTGAGGATGGCTGCTTGCATTGTGGCCGAAACGTCGTGAGAATTATTTTATTATGTTTTATTTTTATTATTTTATTACTTCCCTTCTACGTGACTTTACCAAAAGAACCAAGAAGATCCTCCACCCATGTTGAGAACTCGTCTGCCGGGCTTTTTCGTCCCATCCATGCTGCATTGAACGAGCATACTGAAGGTCGCAGCACTTCCATTTCGATACTTCTCCCGCATTTATGAAATTTTCACCTTACTCAATTCAAGAAACGTGTTAACCCCCCTTTTCTATTACAACTCTTAATAGAGCTGTGTGTGCGTGTGTTGCTGGCTACAGGGACTCCTCTACTTATGAACGATTTAGGTTCCAGGGGTCTGTTCGTAAGTCGATTTGTTCGTAAGTCTCACTGCTCCTGTCGAGACCAAACGTGTTGTACGGCACGTACCTTAAACACGGGAAATTACTTTAAAAGTTGTATAATGTTCTGTAGATGTAGATGCCGCTGGTTTTTAATGTTTTGCAGATGTAGATGCCACTGTTTTTTCACATTCTGCAGATGTAGATGCCTCTGGTTCTTCACGTTCTGCAGATGTAGATGCCTCTGGTTCTTCATGTTCTGCAGATGTAGATGTCACTGGTTCATCACGTTCTGCAGATGTAGATGCCTCTGGTTCTTCATGTTCTGCAGATGTAGATGTCACTGGTTCGTCACGTTCTGCAGATGTAGATTCCCCTGGTTGTTTCACGTTCTGCAGATGTAGATGCCACTAGTTCTTCACGTTCTGCAGATGTAGATGCCACTGGTTCTTCACGTTCTGCAGATGTAGATGCCACTAATTCTTCACGTTCTGCAGATGTAGATGCCACTGGTTCTTCACGTTCTGCAGATGTAGATGCCAAAACCGCAATTGATTGCGCGGTGGTTGAACTTTACGACTCTTGATCCGAACACGCAACTGGACATTCGTCGTATTTGTTAATACTTTTTTTTTCATTGAGATATACGCACACAAGTCCGATACAATACGCCCAAGATTTCTGGATGCTGCGGGGGGGGTCAGAAAAATCGCGAGGGGGGAAGTGGAGGGAACTTTCCAGCGCATGCAGAGAGTCTAGGAATGGAGAGAACAACCTCGCTCGGTGGCCCCCAGCTATAGGGGCGCGACGGGGGGGGGGGGGGGTCAGAATTTGTGCTCATGGGGGAAGGGGAAACAGGAACCAACATTCTAAGGGTAGATCGGGTGAGTGTGGGGGTGACAGAGGGACACACTTCAAATCATGTAACATACATGCGGATTTATGAGATGGGGTTACACCCGCTCCTCCATGGGGGGCTTATCCACCTCTCTACTGACGAAAGAAAGAATTGCAAAAGGGAGGGGGGGAGAGACCCCCCCCCCCTCTATTATCATCGTTTTTAACAGAATCATCCCAGTCAATCGCACCGAA